CCGAGTGAGTCGTGGAGGATGGCTGCTTATACTGAGCCAGGATCCTCTGGAGGTTTCTTCCTGTTAAAAGGGAGTTTTTCTCTCCACTGTCGCAAAATGCTTGCTTAGTATGAGGATTGCTGTAAATCAGTGACTTGATGCAATTTGCTGGGTTCCTTTTATAGAAGAAGAAGGAGAAGGAGAAATTTTCTATATATGAAACATTTTAAGCTGGGCGGACACTGTGTGACTTTTTCACTCGTAGCACTCAGCTTCAGCTCAAACCGTACGACTTCCTCGCAGGTCAGATCTCACGAGTCATGTGCTCATACTGTACGACCCAGTTCTCCGATGCAACCCGACTGCTCACACTGCACGTCTGGTAGCAACACGTCGGCCCTAAAACATATGCTAAAAATAGCAGTTTTTACACAACACGTCAGACTTTTTGGTCTTGTTTTGCCTGTTGTCCTTCGGGAGTGCTGCAGGAGGACACACAGGGATTTATGGGGGTTGGATGAGGAAAACGAAATAAAGAAAGTAAATCTGTGTTTTGTGATCAGTTTAATTTGACATGAACACGACAAACACGCATTCTTGACAATCTTTGTGAGTTAAAAAAACATGTGGAAATACAAATGAACAACGTGTGTTATTAGGGAAATAGCGGGCGAGCGGTGTTGATGCATGATTGCACATGCGCCGTGAGCGGTTCTGGTACTTTTTGGGTCGTAGCTGCTCGCAGCGCCGCTTCAACAGTGCGATACCCTCACGAGGGACGAGCAAAATTTCAAACACGCCAGAAGTTTGTGCGAGCTCACGATTGCTGATCGGTAGCTGGTCACGTGGTGTTAATCGCCTCTCGTAACCCCCTGTACACTACACGACGCTCGGCGCAAAACTCTCCCCGATCTTGTGGATTCTCGCACGAGTGGAAAATCAGCTCGAAAAAGTCGCACCGTGTACGCCCGGCTTTACTGATCGGCTTAATGAACTGACCTGTATTGGAATGTTTATTATGTGAAGTGCCTTGAGACGACTCTTGTCGTGATTTGGTGCTAAATAAACAAACTTGAATTGATTGAAGTTTTCCTCTCCACTGTCACAACATGCTTGCTTAGTATGGAGATTGCTGTAATATGTGGCAGCAGCAGCTCAGGAGGTTTTTCTGGTTGTCCAGTAATCGGAAGGTTGCAGGTTCGACCCCGACTCCTGAGATAGAATTCTGCTGTTGTATCCTTGGGCAAGACACTTGCAGTGCCTGCTGGTGGTGTTCAACAGCCTTGCCTCTGTTATTGGGCTCCAGGGCAGCTGTGGCTACTCAGAGATCATCAGCATTAGCGTGTGAATGGATGAAAGATACACTGTAGTCTAAAGTGCTTTGGAGTCCTCTGACTCTGAAAGGTGCTATACAAGTGCAAGTTGTTCATCATGTATCATTTAAAGTCTCTGACACAACAAGTTAGTAACTCCATACAGTCTGCTGGGTTTTCTTCCATAGGCGTAATGAACTGAACTCGGTGCACCGAAGAGTAGGTTCAATTGGAATGTTTACTTTGTGAAGGGCCTTGCTACGAATAAAGTTAACTGAACTGCATATTGTGTTCTTTATAACCTGGTATTGCTTTACCGAGCTTCATGATTGCCTAGCAGGTAAAAATTATCTCCAGTGTTATTTGGTTTCATAAATTGTTCAGAAGAAAAACCAACTCAGATCCACTCACTGGAGGATTTCCCAATCTACTTATCTTTTATTTGAAAGACTACAGGAATACAAATAGCTTCATCTACAACTTGAAGAGCTTCTAACGTCAATTCATTGACCTTCCATTGATTATTTGTATTTGGCTACATTAATAATCAATGTAATGTTATGCAAGTAAATATATATATATATAAAGACCGGTTCTTGACTAATTTTTCTGTACAGAGTTCTGTGCACGAGTACTGCACCTTTAAAAAGGCAAAACAAAGTCAAAAGCTAAATGAGACAATGAAACAAGTGCTTTTTATGCTTAAAACGGAAGTACTGCAAAACAAACAATTCATTTTACTGGTTCTTGACAGCTACAATTTGCTAAAGAATATTAATTCCTTCAATTTTTCCAATGAGTAAAGACACCCGACTCTTGAACACGCCAAACATGAAAAAGTAGGCATGCACAAAGACTTTGGAAAGAAAAATGTAAAAAAAAAAAAAATGATATTTGATATAACAATTGAAATTTGTTTAAAAGTCTTTCTAGAAAGACTACCTTGAAACATAGTTTAACTGCAAACTTTGAGAGCAGCTTCCACCTAATGGACATGGCCTCATCTTGACCGAAAACAATCCACTTTTAATGATAAATTTGTGTGCTTTCGTTCCATGATGATAATTTTTTTAAGACAACAACTTCAAGAAAAGAGTATATTTAACATGTATTTGTCCTTAGAGTCACGCTTTCAGATTTTTATTCTAAGTGCTGCACTTTTGTAGAACCATTTTCACAATGATTGGGTTCAATTGATCACAAACAATAATAACAATAATTATTGCTAGTAAAAGTATGTAAAATTCTGGTGAAGCTGAAGATCTATTTTCCCAGTGGAGATTTCCCCCAAGGGTCTGTAGCCTGGCCCTACTGATGTACTTGTTGGAATTGAGTGGTCATTCTCAAGGTCAAACAACCAAATGGATATTTTCCCTCTTCCACATTGCACTGTGAAAAATACACCCATTGAAACAACCTTATTCCCATCTTACCCCCTATCAGCAGCGCGGAACGGTTTACTCGCAAGTTTTGCTGCGTGCCAGTTCATGCAAGATCACAAAATCCCCTGAGACGTCCGCCATCCTCCGTGCTTGACTCACGAGATCACAAGATCTCTTGAGTCTCCAAAGGTCATGGTTTGTTTATGCCATCCGCCATTAAACCAAAAAGTTGGAAATTATGTTTGATGTCATATATAATGTTGTTCCTCCTGCCAGGATTAAAGCCTATAAAATTACGCCGTAGCACTTCTTGAATGATGCTGAGAGTAAGTAAGCCGTTAGGTTGCATGTATAGACCTAATCTACATAGATGAAATTGCATTGATGCAATAGTCTTTAATTTAGAAAATTACCAGAGGTTTTACACTGAAACCGTGTGATTTTCTGTCTAGCACTAAAAATAGAGCCCAGTTCTATCTTTAGCAGCACAGTGCTTCTGGGACGCACCGGAAAATGTCCGCCTCACGGCTGGTTTGGATTACCCCTATAGACTGTAATGGATTCTATTTGAAGCAGCAAAGTTCTGCTGCCGTTCTGCGCCACTGATGCTTCCAGTAGAAGTACTCATTTTTTTCAAAGTAGTGATCCAAAAAAAAAAAAAAAAAAAAACATAAATGCTACATATTTTGTTTGAAATGACCTTTTTTCTATCCTGTGTGTTACATATATTATCTGTATATGGCAAATATTAGTTTCAGCCTGCAGACATATAGCTATTTTATAAAACAATTAATTTAGAGCCCACGTACTTAAGTTTTATCTTGAAAATACAATATCTGCAGTAATACGATTAAGCATGAGTCTCAAAAAGATTATTACACATTTTCAGCTTATTAATTTCTACAAACATCAATGTTCTGAAATGTTCGTTTTGTTTTTTATTGACCATTTTTGTATAAATTTTCAGGGTAACATTAAATGCAACCTACTAAATATTCTTCCTTTTAAGTCAACAACAAACTTTAAATGTGTGTTAAACCTGACTAAATGCATCTGATGTTTAGTAAAACTATTAATAAAGATCCATTAAGGTTGCAGGGCTACAAAACTGTTTTGGTGCTTTAAGTGGGCTGACGAGTATATCAGTATTTCTGAAATGTTCTCTGACAGCTTTGTGTCCCTTGTTCTGCCTCCGTCCTGAGCTTGATTAAACTTTCTGAATTTTGTGAAAGCATCAACAAATCCTGTAATGATCTTAACAAAGAATATTGTTTTTAATTGTTTCAGTTCTCAAAAATGTGCTTCACTTTCCAAGCATGTCTGGGACAGTCCCTTTAGAGGTTGAACAGCTGTGCACCACCAGAAAGCATGCAGTGAAAACGCGGGACAATATCACGTATGTGTTTGTGCTTCTAGTTGTCATCCTCAAACGTGTGCAGGTAGGTTTTGAGGATCAGGGTGCTGGTGTAGGTGAGGTTGGTGGATCGGTACAGGTCAAGACCCGTCAAAATTTCCACGTCTCGGACTCGAGCCGTGTGGACTTTCAGCAGGTCCTCCACCCACTGGGACTCATCCTCATCACTCTGCAGAAACACAGATGGGGGACTGTGAGGATACCCAACAACTGGCACTCATTTTTACAATAAACACTCTGAGATTGCACAATTACACTGCAATTTCAACCATCAAAGGGCAGTGAGGGGAAAAAAACATGTTTCTGTAGTCCACACATCAGAAAACTGCTGAACTACAAACACAGAAAAAATCTGTGGTACACAGTGAGTAATGTGTTCTAATTCATGCAAATAAACTTTTAAGAATTAGACTGTGTCAAAAAATGTTTAATTCATCACCAACATAAGATTGATCATTGGGTGCGCCAATTCAAAACCAATGCGCCAACTTGTTGTCAAAAGAAATTGAATGAATCAATCAATAAATGAAAGAAATATAAAAATGAAGAAACTAAAAGCAGTCCTGTTATTTCCACACACTGTAAACAGCGTGAGTCGTAAATGTTGATGTGGGCACGACAAATCTGGATAGACCACAAATAAAGTGGGGAACCACTTCAATAGTCTTTTACATGCTTGCTTCTTTTGGCATCATGACGGAAATAAACTGGAAAGATGTGAAAGTCAAAGTTATTCCTGTCTTGTGGGTGCATGACACAAAATGATGTCATCATTTACGTGTAAATGTGCCAGAAAACCAAAAAAGAAAAACTAACTTACATCACAGGAAAAAACCTTCCACCCACCAGCCTTTCCATCCATCATCACTTTTATGTGACCCCGCCACCCGCCATCATACCCTGAGATAGACTCATTACATGCAAAGCAAGATAATTCAAGACTATTTGTTTTAATTGTGATGATTATGGCTTACAACTTACGAAAACCCCACATTCAAAATCTCAGACATTTGAAGTATTTTTGTCATTAGGCTCAAATTGTCACACGCTAATCAGCTAATAAACCCAAAACACCTGCAAAGGGTTCCCTTTAGATGGTCTCTCAGTTTAATTTGAATTCTTGAAATAAATGAACTTTGTACCATATTCAAATTTTTTGAGTTTGTTATAGAAATTCACACATTGTCTGTTACCGTAACAACTAGTTTAACATATCATAACCATTTTAGGTCCACAATCTCTAAATAATCTAACAAACTGAAATAAGCATGAACACAATGTTACATGTTCTACTAACAGACACAAAGAGGGAACAAACAGCGGTGCCTTAGGAGCTATTAACTGGAAGACCTCACACATGTTGGTAACGCAGCTGCTTACTATTTAATTCTACTTCCTGATTCCCATAACGCACTGGTGCCATGTTACTGTAGCTTAGAATGATCAACCCCATCCCCACCCCCCACCACTCTGACGGCCAGCGAACGGGGAACAAACGGTCCACGAGCATTTTTTTAAATTAGCAAGTGTTCACTCTGATTAAGCAAATGCTGAAGTGACACCAGACTGGACTGGCCTGCTGCATTCGCTTTAGAGTTAGAATTCCTAAATTACATCTAAATTTTCATTAAATAATGCAGCAGCATGGCTACACCCGGCATTCCCTTGAATCAGCTCCATGGCTTCCATCAGAAAGCTTCAAATATTTTATCCTGATGTTTAAGACTTGGCTCAGAATGTTCTCCCAGTCGCCAGATTAAACTGCTACTCCCCTGCACTATCCCTGCATTTTCTAACTAATCACGTTTAGTTTTCCACCACACCTATTTAAATTCATGGGTTCCGCTGCACCCATCATATTGCACAGATTTGTTTATGTTTATATTTATTTACTTAGCAGACGCTTTTATCCAAAGCGACTTACAATTTCTAACCTATAGGGCATGTTGTGAAGATAACATTTACTTAATAAAAAATGTACATGTTAATAAACATGGAGAAATAATTCATGTTATTTTGTATAGCATAATTTATGTAGTGCCTTTTGGTTTTATTTGGTAGTGATTGCACATTTAATTCACATCTGTTCTAAATTTTAAGAACAAAAAACTAATAAAAACAGCTTGTTTACTGTAAATTCAGTGTTAATCCTTTGATGCATGAATTATGAAATCTTCAACCACGATTTTTTTTAACTTTTTTTTTCATTCATCTTTAGGTGTGAATGAAACAAATTTCAACAAATATTTTTTGTAAAATTTTATAATTTACAAATAATTTATTTCATGTCCACCTCAGTGGACAACGTACATTCTGAGCATGAAATATGTTGGCTTGGCTTACCGAAGTCCAAATGGAGGGGCTCAAATGCAATAAAGTCTTCAACAGCTGTGCTTAATAGCAAAAACAAATAAATAACAATTTTGAGTACCTGTCCACTGTAGTGACCATTATGCATCAAAGGGTTAATGTTGCTTTCAAAAAATTTTAATATGCCACAATAACATACCACTCAAAGTAAAACCTGCTTAGGGCCCTTCGAAGGCTTGGGCTGGGCCTCTGCATGCCATTTTAAACAGGAAGAAAGTGATCAGCTGCCCCTATTAGTGCGTGTAACAATAAATATTATCATAGAGTTAACAGAACAAGTTATTTTGCACCCTAATGGACTCCTTTTGTATTGGAGTTTAAAACAAGTAAAAGCATTTATATTGTTTCAGGTGAACAGGAGCTCTCCAATATCATGTTCATTAATAATAACTTAATTAATAATTTATTTCATACATGGTAATTATTAATTTGCCTTTAAAATAATATTACATGTGTCTACATAGTGATTAAAATTTGGGACAAAACTTAACATTAAGCAGATTTTATCTGTAACTGTTAAATCGATGGTTTCATGAGGACTTATTCTATTCTAAGGGTCCTTAAAATTAATATTGTAATGATTTGAATCAAAATGCTTAAGAGGAGAAATATAGAAAACTGATGAAACATTCACAGTATGGCAGTTTTCACATTAGTGATGATGGTGTTGGTCATAGAGACCAGACCAGTGAGCTCTGAGGAGGTATTCAAAGGTGGAGAATTATTGTCACACACAATCAGTGTGTTGCAACCGTGACTTGTCATATATTTCTCGTTTACTATTTTTGTATTTGCAGGGAACTCTTTTGCCTGCAGGGCTTGTTGTTAAAGCTGCAGGTGTGCATAAGGACAAGCACCTGATTTACCCTGTTTGACAGACATGTTTGACTTTTGTCACAACAGATGACAATGAGTCAGAGCAATGTCGTTTCTGTAGTCGCCCAAGATATATTTACACCCTGCACCTGAGCAAGTCTTCATGACTAAGTTTCGCAGGTGACAGTTAAAAATGAGTCAGAACAAGTCACTGCAAATGTCATTACATTCTAAAGTAAAGTGAGGCTCTTTTAAGATCTGCTTCATGGGACCCATGACCCTGAATGACCCTTCTACATTTACTGAGCTTTGCGAATAAGGCTTTCCAGAAAATTTCCCAAAATCTGTAAAAGGAATTTTAGGATTTTCGGTTTGTTTTTATGGTTGCAATTCAACATCAAACCCCATGCTTACATCAAACTCTTCAACTATTTCTCCTCTAACTCAAAAAGTCTGATTATCGTGGGTTCTAGGTATAGTTTAAGTCTAAATTCGCTTTGTAGTAGATGTTGGTTCTCACACACACTGAACAGCCTGGACTTTGCTTAAGCACAGTTGCACTACAAAGTCACTAAAATGTGGTTTGCACAACTCTGGACATTATATATATATTTTTTTCATTTCCATTTAAAACTTGTTCAGCGGCTGTTTTGTACAGATATTTTTATTTCTTCATGCATTCTTATACATTTACATACTGTGTATTTTGTTGTACAGTTACTTTATTCTCAGCTTCAACTTATATATATTTTATCTTATTCCTTCCCAGCTAAATTAACCTTTTATTCTAATTTGTATTGTGTTGTGTATTTTGTTGTAAAGCTATTCTATTATTCAACTTTAATTCAGATATATTTTACCTTACTCTTTCCCAGTTAATTTACCCTTCATTTTAATCCGAGGTGTACAGTCTTTTTATTTTCAACTCTTAGGTCACGAGCAGCTGTGTAAGGCATTTCACTGCATTTCGTACTGTGTATGACTGTGTATGTGACAAATAAAATTTGAATTTGAATTTGAGATGTTTGTCAGGAATATCTCAGGAAAATTTTATTATTTTCCTTTGCCTAACTTTAAATGAGGTAGCTGTCATATTTTGCACAAATAATGTTTAAAGTTTAAGTTAGCTTGGTAGGAGATAATGCTAGTTACCTAAAAGTATTTAGTTTATCTTTATTTTTATGAGAGGGTGATTGGAACATGTTGGTATCTGAAATTATGAATTAGACTATTCTGGTAATTTGGATATTGGCAAAAGCAAATCTGGAACATGCCTAGTAATTTAATGAATAGAACAATTTACACTCCTTTTTGTACAATGTAATTCATTGCATTTTTACTCATGAGTTAGTTATTGCTCTGTACGTAAAGAACTTCAGAACAACAAGGAGATGTTTACAAAAATGCTATTCAAACATATTTAACCGTCACGCTAGTAAGGGTAATAAAAAAATAAAGTAATCATAATTACAGCTAAAAAAAATTCTTGTCCTCTCCTCTTTTAATCTCGTATTCATGAAAATGAAGCAAACAGAATATTGTATACGAGCCTTTCAGGCAGGGCAGGGTTGGTAATTGACACTACTGTTACTATAGTAACTTACGTTACAGGCTTCACTGTTGTCTGGTCTGTTAGGAATGATGAAAGACAAGACCTTTAGAGCTCCATCACACTCCTCTACTGTTTGGTTCATCTCCTGGCAACTTGTCACAATAGTGTAGAAGTGACTAGGAACAGGTGTTGAGTCATCAGAGAACCTGATAGAAAAGCACAGGTTAGAAATGTGCAGCAATAAGCCACTGACACTATAATGTAGCGTTTCCCAACACTGGTCTTCAAGCCACACTGCCCTGCATGTTTTACATGTTGCCCCTTTTAACACAAGTGTTTCCCTGCTGCCACACACTTGACTTAAATGAATGAGTGATTAACATCTACAGCACTTGATTTCCTCCTGAGGAGGCAATGTAAATCACGTGTGCTGAAGCAGAGACATGGAAAACATTTAGGTCAATGTGCCCTGAGGACCAGGGTTGGAAAACACAGCTACAATGTACCGGTATGTATGTGACTGTTGTTTACAGAGCATGATGTTGGCATTTGGGACAAAACTTAACATTAAGCAGATTTTATCTGTAACTGTTAAATCGATGGTTTCATGAGGACTTATTCTACTCTAAGGGTCCTTAAAATTAATATTATAATGATTTGAATCAAAATGCTTAAGAGGAGAAATATAGAAAACTGATGAAACATTCACAGTATGGCACTAACTATGTTTTTACAGTAGTAATGATGGTGTTGGTCATAGAGACCAGACCAGTGTGCTCTGAGGAGGAATACGGTATTCAAAGGTCGAGAATTATGGTCACACACAATCAGTGTGTTGCAACAGTGACTTGTCATATCTTTCTCGTTTACTATTTTTGTATTTGCAGGGAACTCTTTTGCCTGCAGGGCTTGTTGTTAACCCTCCCACTGTCTTTATGGGTGACCCCACGAGGAAAGTTGACCATTGAGCAGGGTTGATGGTTTATCCCTTGGGTCCATGTGGCAGGGGTGAGGTGGTGCTCACTCCTCACCCCTGCCACATGGACCCAAGGGATAAACCATCAATCCTGCTCTATGGTCAACATTCCTCACTGGTTCACACCCTCCACAGGGGAGGGTTAAAGCTGCAGGTGTGCATAAGGACAAGCACCTGATTTACCCTGTTTGACAGACATTTTTGACTTTTGTCACCACAGATGACAATGAGTCAGAGCAATGTTGTTTCTGCAGTCGCCCACGATATATTTACACCCTGCACCTGAGCAAGTCTTCACGAGGCTGATGTAGAGATAACGCAAATCAAAGAAAAACTGCTAAAACATAATTGTATTTTTCCTACGTAAAGCATACATAAAGAAATAAACTTGTAGAAATCAGCAGACTGGAAAATAAACATATTTTCATGCATGTGAAACTAAAGGTGTATGAGTCTCAGAAGTAATTATCTGGGTTTCATCTCTATCTTATGCTTTTTAAATGTTGTAATGTGATGTAACGCTGACCCCTGCTGGATGGAAATCTCTTTCACAGTCAAATTTGTTTTAAAGCCACTAAAATGCAACTTTTTTGCTTTTTCTACTTTTCTTCCACTTTTTGCTGTTCACATAAAAGCTACGTGCAAAAATTCCTATCAGAAAAGCTGGACATTTGTAATGAGATAATATGTGCTAGTTTATTAAAACAGAATGCTTTCACAAAGTTGGTAATTTACCAAAGTAAGTTGGTTTTTCTTCAGTTAAATGAATTAATTTTCTTCAATAAATTTTTTCTTTTTATGCAAGATGTGTAGTTATTTTTTACATTAACCTTTTACAAATGATAGCATTTTTTTATTTAAATTTTTAGGCCCGAGCAGCGAAAGCGCTGCGAAGGCCTCTTGTTTTTGCTCTGTTTATTCTTTCTTTTTATTTATTATTCTTAGCCCGCTTTGAATGGCTTTTTGGGGACCTTACCATACCCCAAAACTCACAATATTTTGCAGACATGTCAGGCCTGGTGAAAAATTTGATATTTTAAAGGTCCCAAAAAAATCGCAAAGAAAATGGCTGAACAGCGCCCCCTAGAAAGTGAAAAAAAACCCTCTCCATAAAGCTTAGTTTATCGTACAGTTATGAAATTTGGTACACTTGTAGTACTCAACAGTCCGCACAGAAAAGTCTCTTGCAAGCATGGTCAATATCAAACAGGAAGTCGGCCATTTTGGGTTGAAATGGCGATTTTTAGCCGTTTTTGCCGTTTTTAGGGTCTGTTTCTGATTGGATTGCTCGATCATTTTTCGCACGATCAACTCAAAAATTGTGTAAAATTGCTCAGAAGGGATGGGCAAACAAAATGAGACAAGGATTCTGACTTTTCGTATATATTGAAGGGGCGGGGCCAGGCCTCGAAGTTTGACTACTCGCCAAAAAAATTTAAATTGCTATAACTTCATAACTGAATGGAATAGAGTTACCAAACTTTCTATGGTCGTTTGTCATCCACCCACAAAGTAAATTGAATAGTCGGATGATGACATCACACAAGCCCCGCCCCCTCAGGAGCAAAAAGGTCAAGTTTTACTGTGAAAGGTCCCAAATTGCCCCATTTCACTTAATCACCACAAATTTGTAGCTGGTAACTCAAGACAAGTGGGGGTTGCTTGGTATCACTTTATGGGAGTTTTCGGCATAGGGCGGGGCTGTGGCGGCGCGAAGAAGACAGGCGTACCGCCGTGGCCTTACGTTTGCCTCCCATTTCGTCATTTCTAAAGATATCGTCATGAAACTTTTTGTGAGTAATCCTAGTCTGGCCCCTCAAACAATCTGATGTCAACATCCGGTGGGCGTGGCCTATTTTCTGAAATAGCGCCCCCTAGGACCATTAAAACTGTCAGCCCCAAGCCATGCTTTGAGTGAGGATTACGAAATTTGGTACACTAATGTGGTGTCTCAGGACCTACAAAAAAGCCTCTTGGAGCCAAGTGCAAAGTCGCACAGGAAGTCGGCCATTTTGGTCCAAGTACGCGATTTAGTGGTTTTCGCACACGTTGTTTGGAGAGTGATGCTCCGTCGCCCTTTTCACCAATCTCCTTCAAACTTCTGCTATATATTCTTAAGACATAGGGGAAAAAATTCAACCGTCGGATTTTTCAAAAGTTGAAAGGTGTGGGCGTGGCTAAGCCTCAAACTTTGACCTGCCGCCACGCCACTCTTTTTTTCACAGCTCCCTACTGGACTCCTTTTACCTAATCACCAGGATTCTGTGGGAAACAGCAGTAGACAACTTGAGGTTACTTGGTCTCCAGTACTGGCAGGTTTTGAAAAAAGGCGGGGCTTTGGGAGCATGGCGAAAATCGCCATCACGCCATGGAAATACGTTTGCCTCTCATTTCTTCAGTTATCGTGATATCGCTCCGACACTTCTGGTGAGTGATCCTAGTCTGACCCCCAAGAGAAATAGACAGCTGAAGTTTGTGGGCGTGGCCTATTCTCTTAAATAGCGCCCCCAAGGACCATTTAAACTAATAGCCCCAAGCCAAGCTTTGACTGAGGATTACGAAATTTGGTACACTAATGTGGTGTCTCAGTACCTACAAAAAAGTCTCTTGGAGCCAAGTGCAAAGTCGCACAGGAAGTCGGCCATTTTGGTCCACGTACGCGATTTAGTGGTTTTCGCACACGTTGTTTGGAGAGTGATGCTTCGTCGCCCTTTTCACCAATCTCCTTCAAACTTCTGCTATATACTCTTAAGACATAGGGGAAAAAATTCAACCGTCGGATTTTTCAAAAGTTGAAAGGTGTGGGCGTGCCTAAGCCTCAAACTTTGACCTGTCGCCACGCCACTCTTTTTTTCACAGCTCCCTACTGGACTCCTTTTACCCAATCACCAGGATTCTGTGGGAAACAGCAGTAGACAACTTGAGGTTACTTAGTCTCCAGTACTGGCAGGTTTTGAAAAAAGGCGGGGCTTTGGGAGCATGGCGAAAATCGCCATCACGCCATGGAAATACGTTTGCCTCTCATTTCTTCAGTTATCGTGATATCGCTACGAAACTTCTGGTGAGTGATCCTAGTCTGACCCCCAAGAGAAATAGACAGCTGAAGTTTGTGGGCGTGGCCTATTCTCTTAAATAGCGCCCCCTAGGACCATTTAAACTAATAGCCCCAAGCCATGCTTTGACTGAGGATTACGAAATTTGGTACACTAATGTAGTGTCTCAGGACCTACAAAAAAGCCTCTTGGAGCCAAGCGCAAAGTCGCACAGGAAGTCGGCCATTTTGGTCCAAGTACGCGATTTAGTGGTTTTCGCACACGTTGTTTGGAGAGTGATGCTCCGTCGCCCTTTTCACCAATCACTTTCAAACTTCTGCTGTATACTCTTAAGACGTAGGGTAAAAAATTCAACCGTCGGATTTTTCAAAAGTTGAAAGGTGTGGGCGTGGCTAAGCCTCAAACTTTGACCTTTCGCCATTACTTTACTTGACTTAATAACTCCCATGAGCATGATCAGATCTTTTTCAAACTTTGTCTGTGTGATAATTGACCATATCTGTAAAAAATGACAATGTGGACAGCTGACATCACCTAAGCCCCGCCCCCTGACTACAGGAATTCTATTTTTTTATGCTGAAATGCCCATATTTGTCCCCTCTAATTTAGTCAACAAGACACCAAGGTCATGCACTGTCTTCATGATGCTGTATTGACCATTCAGATCTGATAGCTTTCCAGAAAGGGAGGGGCTTTGATGCCTTGGTGAATTCTGGCGTAACGCCGTAACCTTACAAATCATTTTAATGGTGAGCTCAGAGGGGATGCTGAGTCAGGGTGAGGTGCGGACTAGGAGGCCATTCGCGGATTCTAGTGTCGGGGTGGTTGACGTTTCTGTTCTGCCAGACGTGCCTTGGTGCCCCGGGCTGCCGGTCAGGCCGGAGCGGCGCGGAGCTGCGAGGGCCGAACGACGCTGCTTGCAGCTTTAATTTAGATTTGTTCTTTATTTACATGGATGGACTGCAAAAGGTGTTGCTTTCATTTTCTTTGCAGGCCTGTGTATGTTCCAAGACAGTAAAGACATTTTAATTTTATCATATTCATCACTGTGGAATGTCACGTAGACACATTATTTTGAAAAATAAAACATTTAAAATATTCAATGCTGACAAAATTGTTGGGCATCAAGTATTTAATGCTTTTTACTGTTTTGTTTTGCTTTGCTTTATTTGACTTCCAGCATTAACTACGAATGTGACCGCTCACATTTTGCAAGAGACAGATCATCAAAAGTATAAGTCTGTAGAACAATTCAAGTGTCTTTGCAGCCAACAGCTACAAACTTACTCTTTTATCTTCTCTATCGTGTCTCTAAGGCCGTCATGGTTGGAGTCAAAAATTGGCCCAGAGAGAACATTGATGCCATTGTTTTCCTCTGCATAACGTCTCAACACTGCCCCCTGCAGATAACTCCACATTCCTACAAAAAGAAATATGTTTTTAAACAAATCATTAAAATGTGCCCACACAGGCAGAATGAGTGAGAGAGAGAGAGAGTGAGAGTGAGTGAGAGTGAGTGAGTGAGTGAGTGAGTGAGTGTGTGTAGGGGGGGGGAAACAATTTTTCAAATACAACCCATAACGTGGGGACATTTTGATATTGCGAGGACACTTGGCTGGTCCCCACAGTGGAAAAAAACTCATTCATACTTGGTTCTAGAAATTTGATGTTAGTTAACTTTTACTTAAGGTTATGGTTAGGAATAGATCAGTAATGAGTATAGTTAGGCATAATTCAGTCACTAAAATGAATGGAAGAAAACGGCGGGTCCCCACAAGTATGGAAATGCAAACATGTGTGTGTTCCAGAAACAAAGAAATGCGTTTTTGCTTCAAAACAAATATTCTGAACAACATGACACACCGATCCTAACTGTGGTACTTTGTTAGTTTCTACTTAAAAAGACAACAACAATAAAAAGCAAAATTTCTAGCACTTTTATAATCCTGTTCAGGAATGCAAAAGGATAATTACTAAACTTCTCCACCTTTTGAATTCATGTAAAATCCTTAAAAGAATCATTGTTAGTTTTACGGTCAGCGCAATATCCAGAAACTGATCATCACATTACAGAATCAGGATGACACTAAAGTTCACTTTCCTCTGTCTAATGTCATTGCCAAATGTCAATAGTGTACAAAAAATGATGCCTACATGATTTCTCTTAAACATTTTACAGCCTTCGTACAAACACAACACCATATGTAAAACACAGATGATCTGTGTGTTCATGTGACTTTGGCTGTGAGAGTGTTTTGTCCTGATAAGACATCTCTCTCTACAAAACAATGGGTATCAGCCTGCCCTCTTTCAGACCTGGCATCAACACTTCTCTGTCCTTTGTCTTATGTGACACTGCTGGATGTCTCTGATGCAAAAGAGATAAAAAAAAAAAACGTCTGTGGACCGTGGTGATAGTGGTGCTTTTGATTTCCAGGTTTATGTTTGTAATTTTTACATTCAAACTTCTTTTGTCTCCTCCTTCCTGGACAATATTTCAACAATCGTCTAAAATTCCTTTTTTACGTATTGTGACATTTTAGTGAAGGTGTCACGTTATGGGATGGTTAGGACCCAAAAATGCAGATACCCAGGATGACACGAGGCAGGAGTTGATATAAGAATAAATCATTTTAATTGTAGGATGAAGCAAAAATAAATCTGAAGGCAGGGAGTCAAAAATCCATCACCAGAAGAACAAAAGCTCACCTAGAGCACAAAACTGGGATGAGACACAAAGCTCACACAGAGCATCAGAAAACGCTGACATACAAACACACACACACACACACACACACACACACACACACACACACACACACACACACACACACACTGACACACACACAAACTAAGCTGGGAACAAGAGGCTGGAGCTACAACTAGAGGGGCTGAGGATGACTGGATGACACAGGACCTGGGAGGAATGATTTTAAAGGGCTACAACTTAAGACACATAACAGAGATGTAGACAAAGGACACATGAGGGCGCTAAGAGAACACAAAAGGGAATCTAGAGAGGGATGGAGAAACATTAGGAGACACATGGGGAAAGACGCAGACCCTGACAGAAGTGACTTACTCTTGAAGGCTGGGTACATGGGAACAGTGTTGGTGATGAGAGAAGCATCGTATCTGGATTCTGGGAATGTTGCAAATTCTGTCAATGTAAACACAAGAAAACGTAATTGATATATTGATTATAGAAGTTAGTTTATTCCCTTTTAAAACAACATTAAAAACCCACCAGGGGGGAATAGGGAGCCATAGGTGAGGTGGCTGTTCTGGCTGTAAGCTGTGCAGCTCTGGCTGTGATCAGGTGAAACTCTGTGGTCAACTCGGATACATTTAACACCTGGTGAAACCTCCGGTAATGGAGTCAGGTCATCCTGTGGGGCAAAAACAAAAACCAAACATTGGGTCATTCAACACATGAATGCATGAACACCCGGATCTTGTAAATTTGTCCCTGTAAAGGTTAATAAAACAAGCAACTGTATGCCTTTGTACAGAGTTTCTGTTTGCTGCAGCAGTGGGAGTTTATGTTTGCAGGCTGCTAAGATTTGGTCAGTCATGATTGGTGTGCCTCAAATAAACTCTACAATGGGTTCTTTGCCTGGCCTGCACCAGGATTTTGTGACCCAACACCTGGTTCAGAGGAATAAACAACTCTCTACCCACAGAAAATTAGAGCTCCTCTGTGAACCCTCACTTAGAACCATTGGAATCTGGACACATGGGACAAAATGGATTTATTCTTTTAAATGTAAACACCAAGAAAGCTGATTTATCATCTTGAAAAACGAACACAACTACATTATCAGTAATAAACTAATAAAATGTTGGTTTTTGCTCTCTTCTTTTAGAAACTTTAGTTATTTTTGACATTTATGTTTTACACAAATGCAATATAAAGGTAGATAATTTCCATTTTGAGTAAATTGCAATGGACTCTTGTGTCCAATAAATAACTAACAGCAGAAATGCAGGCTGTTTGCACTTGTTTGCTGAAGACAGTAGATAATTTTAGATTTAAAAAATTCCAATAATTTTGTCAAAGATTAGATAATAAATTGATAAATTAGGTCAACAGTGTCTAATCCTGGTTCTCAGAGGATTTTCACCCATTTAGGACATGTACACATCTAGCACGGTTATTGTTAACCCTCTGGAGGCAGGTGTTGCAGAAATGCAACAGTAAAACCTACCTACCTGGTTACTCCACATACGTATTTCATGAGCATTGTTAAACTCAGAAGTACCCCTGAAGGACTTAGTTGTTCGTCTTTTTATCAAAACTTATTTTGAGCCTGAGAGGGTTAAACTGAATATATTCATAGGCACGCCAAGCCTTTAGGTGATAGTAGTTTCACATATCTATGGAATATTTTCTGAAAATATTCCTTGGATGTGGAATAACTAGGTGTTGGAAATGACAATCCTTAATGTCGCCTGTAGTCTTCTACAAAGAGCAGTAATCGAGCTCATAAAAACTAGCTAGCAAGTAAAAACACAAGTCCCACATGACTTCAGGAGATTTTGTTGCAGGCAGTGACGCTGCAAAATCTAAAACGCTGGTTTTTTATGTCCTCAAGCAAATGCTGACAATGTAGAATTTGCAGATCTTAAAACAATCACTTTTGGCACCATTTAATATTGACTTTTGTGTGGATGACAGGCCAAAACATAGAAAAAAAAGTCCTTGTACAAAAGTGGATTAAGTGTTTATTTTTTAATTTATGCAAAGACGATGTGTGTATTCACATTTGGTTGAGTTTGCGTACATATACCTGTTTCTTCAGTGTGTATGCCGTCCAGAGTGGCATGGCCAGTTCTTTGCTATAGCCACTAATAAACTCTGGATGGTGTAGAAGACTGTACTGAGTCTCAAACATGACTGCCGGTCGACCAAACGGGATGTGGGTACTGTCTGAAAAAAAGAGGAAGTCATAAATAAATAATAGTTTATTAAAAACCACTTTGTTCAAAGACAGGAAAAAATTTATTTTCTACTGTGAAAATTCTGTAAAATGTTTATGATAAGATCTTTTTCAGAAAGTTTTTTATGTCTTTTTTACATTATCTCAGTGACATTGAGCTCTTTTACTGATTTTTCAGAAAATATTGTGACAATTCAGCAGATGGAAGCATCAGGCGTTCAGGATGAATATGATTGCAGGATCTCAGTGACACTGGCCTAAATACTCTTCAGTGACTTCAGCCTTCTAAATACTTTGTGTTCCAAAACTATTATTAAACAGTTTAATAGCAGAAATAATCTTACTTGAGCTTTGGATTCCCTCTGGTGCAGGAGTGAAAGTTTCAACAATTTCCTCCACCCTGTTCTGAAATAACAAACCAATCTTTTTAAAACTGTGGTAATTTGCCAAAATAATGTGTTGCTGTTGCTAGAACATAATAATAATGATTTATCTGATGCCTTCAGACCTCATCATCACAGCTGCAGCCCAGATCCTGGATCACAGGAATGTTGGAATCAGACGGCGGTGAAGGAGGCGTCACTTCCTCCGGCATGGTGGGCTGGAATGGCGGATCCTTCAGCATGTCGTTTAAGCTGCCGTGTGTGCCGTTGTTTGGAGCAGGTTTCAGTCCCAACAGGTCTGAGAGTAAAGTTTTTATAAGTAAGAAAAAAAAAAGAAAAACCACTTAATCCAATACAGTGATCCCTCGCTACTTCGCGGTTCATTTATCGCGGATTCACGACTTTGCGGATTTTTTCTTTGGAGCCTTATTCAAGGGAAATTCGCCGATTCGCGGTATTTTTCTATGCGAAATATCAAGAAATTCCTGTTTTTTTTCCATCAATTTCATCATAAAATACACTTTTTGTAATAAAACTATAAAAAAAAACAAGTAATTTTTTTCTATGTAAAGGGAGGGTTTTGAAAGTCTGAATACTGAATACGTACCTGTTAAATAAATACTGTAAATATGGTGTCCCTACTTCGCAGATTTTCACCTATCGCGGCCAGGTCTGGAACACATCTACCGCGATAAACGAGGGATCACTGTATTTGGTTAAAAGACACTTTTAAACGTACAAGCTCTGCTTTACTTCCTGTTAACAAGCAAAACATTTTCTCACCACACATGACGTTGTATAATTCTATATTTTCAAATTCTGGCAGGTTTTTCTGAAATTTGAAGCTTGGGCCATGGCCGATGAAGATCGTCTACAGGAAACAAAAAAAATACAAAAAACATTATACTTTATCTCAAAATTCTTGTACGTAGACATCTGAACAATAACAATTGAAACTGATTTTGTAGCTAGTAAGAACAGAGACATGATTAAAGTGTGAAACAGCATTATACCCTCATGCTGGTGATCTTATTGTCAAAGCCGTGATCACCAGAGAACCCACATCGATTCCTCGGTTTTTCTGGCACTTTCCTGAAAAGCATAAGTTACCAGCAGTGAAATTCTGCCCTGTTTGGACAAATTACATAGAAATGTATCTAAATGTATGAGGATCTGGACAATTACTTATTAATTCATCATTATTAGATCATAGAATAAAACAAAAAAGATCCTGTGGCTTCTTAGGTGTACAAGAAATAACTTCTAGGTGGCTCCTGTTTACTGGCTTTGGTTCTTTATACAACTCTAGAGATTTTTGCCTGCCAGGTGCTGCAGCTTTAGCTCAGCCCAGACTGGGCAACCTCACGGGCTCTCAGAGAGTAAACAGTAACTTTGTATTCTGTTTCCATGTAAGCTTCCTTCCAATACGATTGACTTTAGACTGTTTTTTATCATCTCACTGTAGAATTCTTACATATTGCTCGTTTAAACCTTATTGATGCTCTTAGGTGTGTTCTTGCTGTGTCTTTCTAAATCCATGCTTTCGTTCTTTTTTTAAACACAGAAACAGTTTTGTTTACCTGTTTGTAGCTACAGTTTCGCCGACGGCTGCCGGCTTCTTCAGGCTGACGCTGATGGTGGCGCGTCACTTCCTTCTCCGTTTATCTGCGGGCAGCAGAGGACGTTGTCGCCCTCTACTGCCCGCTCTCCCCTCTCCGACGATGCAGTCCCATGCGTGGTCCAGCGTGTAAACTCCGTCGTCCCTGTTCATGGTCCCACATCCACGTCTCCTTATCTCGATTGCTTCCTTGATCCATCTTTTGTATTTTTGTTGTTCGGTGGTTATGATCCGTGTGCTGTCCCAGTCCATTATATGGTTTTCTCTTAAGCAGTGATCTGTTACGGCTGACTTTTTTATTGTACTTTCTGCTTCTTCTTTTGCTGCTCTTGTGTGTTTACGATTTGCCTCTTTCTCGCACTCCTTTCTGTGTTCTATTGTCCGTGTATTGAGTTGGCGTCCAGTTTCTCCTATGTATGTTTTATTGCAGAGTTTGCATGGGATTTCGTAGATGACTCCACATTTTTGTCCAGCTGATATTTTGTCTTTTGGGTGTACTAATCTGTTTCTAACTGTTGTGTATGGCTTTGTTGGTGTGTTTATGTTGTGTTTTTTCATTGTTGCTCTTATTTTTTCCGTTATGCCTCTGATGTATGGTAGGGTTATCACTGGTTTTGGTTCTTGTCTTTCTGGGTTTCTGGTTCTTTTTTTGGGTTGTTCTTTGCTTTCTGTTGTTGTTTGTTGTTTTGCTTTGTTTATTGCCCATGTCGGGTATGCGCAGGTCTTTAAAGCGTATTGTATGTGTTTGTCCTCTTGTTTACGGTCTCTCTCTTCTGTTATTATATTTGCTCGGTGATATAATGTTCTGATTACTGACATTTTGTGTATGGTGGGGTGTTCTGATGTCCATAATAAATATTGGTCTGTGTGTGTTGGTTTCCTGTATGTGTTTATGTTTAGGGTCCCGTCGGTCTGCCTGGTGATTTTCATATCCATAAATGCTATACTGCCTTCTGTTTCTAACTCATAAGTGAACTTTATGTTGCCCGTGTCGTCAATATTGTTTAAGTGTTGTGTTAGTGTTCCTGTTTGACCTTTTGGTATGATTTCCAGTATGTCATCCACGTAGCGTTTCCATAGTTTTATTTTGCAGTTTGGGGGGGCGGTTGCTATGGCTTTTTGTTCCAGGTCTTCCATGAAAAACTCGCACAGGGTGGCTGATAACGGGTTACCCATGGCGACGCCTTCCAGTTGTTTGTATATTGTGTTATCGTATGTGAAGTAAGTGGAGTTAGCTACCAGTCCTATCAGTTGTGCTATGTCATCTGCTGTGAGGTTTGTCCTTTTGTGTAAAGTTTTGTCTTGTCTGATTCTGTTAACTACTATGTCTATGGTTTTTTGGGTTGGTGTTTTTGTGAACAGAGATGTGACGTCATGTGAGATGAGTATGTCGTTGTCTTCTATTGTAATTTCCTTTAGTTCTTTTGCCAGTTCTATACTATTTTTGCAGTGTTGGTCTGTATTTCCTAATAACGGGCTGATGATTCTGCTGATATCTTTTGCCATGTTGTATGTTGGTGTACCTATGCTGTCAACTATTGGTCTAAGTGGGGTGTTTTGTTTATGTATTTTTGGCGTTCCATATATTCTTGGTGTTATATTCGCCGTGGGAATCCAGTGTTTGTACATTTTTTCTGTTATTTTGCCTTTTTCGTGCAGTGGCTTCAGTAATTTTTTCATGTTTTTCTTAATGTTTTCTGTTGGATCTTTTTTAAGTATTTCATATGTATTTTTGTCCTCTAGCATCTGTTTCATCTGTTGTTTATATTTTTCTCTGTCCATAACTACTGTGGTTCTTCCTTTATCTGCCGGTAGAATAATTATCTGTTCATTTTTGGATAAAGCTGTCATGGCTGATTGTTCTTCTTTTGTAATATTGCTGTGTTGAATTTGGCTGTTTTTTTAATATCCCAACTATGTTATTTCTAAGTTCTGCTTTCTTTCCCTCATCTGTGATCTGTTGACATGCTAGTTCTGTTGCTACGATAAATTCATCATATGGTATTTCTTTTGGTGTGACTGCAAAGTTTAAACCTTTCTTTAATATGCTCTCTTCTGCTTCTGTTAGTTTGTATTGTGAAATGTTACATACCCATGAGTTTGGTGTGGAGTTGCCTTGTATTTCTCCCCTCTTTTTCTTGTTTATGAGTTTGTTTAACTTCTTTATGTGTCTTTCTTTTACTTTTATGAACTCTTTTTCCTGTTTTTCCATCATGTGTCCTTTCATTAGTTCCTCCATTTGTTTATCAAGTTTGTAATTCCTTTTCAAGTCCAGGTGTCCTCTTTCCAGTTCGTCCTCCACACGCCTCTGTTTGGTTATGACGTTCCTTATCCTCTCCTTGAGCAGTGCTCTCTGTGCTCTTTCTATTATATTTTGTGCTGTCTTGGTCCGGATCGATGTTTTCAGCTGTAGGCTTGTGGGTGTGATGTTTTCATCCCGGCATCTTAAACAGAAGCGAAGGTGGTTTTTTAGACGTGCGCGTTTCTGGTGTAATCGCTCCAAACGGCGGAAGTCCTTCGTTCCTTGTTGTCCGTATTTCTCTTTGAACATCTTAGGAGTCATCTATGAAATCCCATGCAAAATATGCAATAAAACATACATAGGAGAAACCGGACGCCAACTCAATACACGGACAATAGAACACAGAAAGGAGTGCGAGAAAGAGGCAAATCGTAAACACACAAGAGCAGCAAAAGAAGAAGCAGAAAGTACAATAAAAATGTCAGCCGTAACAGATCATTGCTTAAGAGAAAACCATATAATGGACTGGGACAGCACACGAATCATAACCACCGAACAACAAAAATACAAAAGATGGATCAAGGAAGCAATCGAGATAAGGAGACGTGGATGTGGGACCATGAACAGGGACGACGGAGTTTACACGCTGGACCACGCATGGGACTGCATCGTCGGAGAGGGGAGAGCGGGCAGTAGAGGGCGACAACGTCCTCTGCTGCCCGCGGATAAACGGAGAAGGAAGTGACGCGCCACCATCAGCGTCAGCCTGAAGAAGCCGGCAGCCGTCGGCGAAACTGTAGCTACAAAACAGGTAAACAAAACTGTTTCTGTGTTTAAAAAAAGAACGAAAGCATGGACTTATTGATGCTGTTTAGATCCTCACAACCAAGCAAAACATTACTTAAAGAGACATTTCTTCCCATATATTCTCAAAACTTTATAAAAAATTATCTAGTTCTGTCATAGTTGTTTGGTATTTTGACACCAAATGAAATATTTCTGAAAAGGTGTGACTTGGGTTACTTAGCAATGTGCCATTTCCTCTCCATTAGCAGCTGGACGTCCTCTATCCTGCGGTTTTTGGCGTAGTGAAGCCTTTTGGGTAAATGTTGCTTCAGATACGGTTTGAAGTGCTGATTTGGCATTTTGCACTGAAACAGGAAAAAGCTGAGGTAAAAACTATGACTCTTCTCTTTGTCTATTGCACCGAAAAGTAGAATAATGGCTGAAAAATCTGCTGCTCTGTTTTATGACATTTTTCTGATGTCCCAGGTTTTGTTACTCACAGTGAGGTTTGCAACAACCGCTTTTGGGTCATCTGCAAATAAAAGCATAGAGAAAATGATGTTTGTTTTTATTTAATGTTTTTATTATTAAAGAGGTTACAGGTAAAGGCCGTCTTACATGTAGTGGATCTGGAGTCTCGGGGGCGTATTCTTCCAATTGACCCAGGTATGAGCATGATGTCGTCCAGGTTGAGAGGGTAGCTGCTGAGAAACTCTGTCCTGTCACAGTGAGCCTCCTCCATTCCTGCCATAAAAATACACATTAGGGTTATTAGGGCCTCATGCAAAACTGAAAGGGTACAGTATTGAACCAAACTGTGCATTTTTACATATCAGTAAAAGAAATAACCGTATTTAAATTATAGTGTTTTTTGTCATTAAAGCCTGTAGTTTTTACATGTATCCCTTTCAATGTATGTTTTTACACAGTTTTACCTCTTTACAAAGGTTAATATTTGTGTTAACCTCAAAACTTTTCACCACATCTGCAGATACCGTTCTGTGAGAAAATTATTACAGTTTACATATTTAAGGAATTTCACTCCTTAGAGAAAATTCACACAGATATCCAGTTTTTCAATAATCAGTTGAAAACTAAAGAAGCACAACTTTCAGATAAGTAAAAAAAAAACATTTTTTTATGGTCTAAAACGTTTTCATACATGGCAAAAAGGCACTACTTGAAGTAAGATAAAGATTCTTAAATATGATACAAAAAACATTTTGGTTTGAGTAAAATAAAAATTGCAAATTCATCTCCCGTCAATGTGCCCCAGGGCAGCTGTGGCTACTTTGTAGCTCATCACCACTGCTGTTTGTGTTGTAAGGTGCCTTGGAGGGGTGTAGAACCCTGGACGGCACTAACCATTTAGCATTTTTGTATATTGTATTAATAATTTAGGACGTAATACTTAAAATGTTTTTAGGATTGCTTTTGCTTTTTTATTATCTGTAATCTGAAAAGGTTCCATTTACAATCTAGAATTGAATTATGATTTAAATCAGGAATTTTTATTTAGACTGGTGGTGCTGGGTGGAGCGTGGCTGCAGGAAAGGAATGAAGGTGAAGTGGCTTAAGGTTGGTTTATGCTTGACGCGTCCGCGAGGTCCGCACGGCTCCGCGCGGAAAAGTTGCGTCATTTTGCGTCATTTTAACAACCACGCCCCTCCACACGGCCCAAAATTTCCGCAACGCGCACCTAGGAAATTTTCTAACCACGCGGATGGCCGGACGTGGAAAAACATGGCGGACCGGCAAGAACTAGTATGGCAGAGGTTCGTAAATAAGGACATTTGTATGATTCAGCTCTCAGAGATTACCGTGATCAACATGTTGTTAATAATTCTTGGAGAGAAATAGTTCACACTGTCGGAAAAGACGAGGACGCTGTTAAAAATGCTGAAATGCCGTGTTGTGAACAGTAATTTCTACTTCTACTATGGTGTATTGTTGGATGCATGCTGTAGAGCTCCATGCTGCCCCCTACAGTTTGGGAGAATATTGTCTCACCACAGAGACGAGCTGCATGAACCATAAACGCTGCGAGTTGTGAAGCGTGTTCCATCCGCGAGCCGCATCACCAAGCGGAAAGTAAATGTGTCAAGCATAAACCAAGCTTAACGCATCTGCAGGTGTGTGAAGAAGAGCAGCTGACGCATATCACCTATCAGACCTTTCCTTATATCTACAGAAACCAGCAGAGAGAGGGGTGGGGGGTAGGGGGTTCATGGCACTGGATGATGGAACAAAAGGAGTTAATAATGACTGGTGTTAATAAATTTGCATAAAAAGAAAATACCCTCCTATAGTTGACTTCTACAGAAACACATTTATCATAGAATGGATGGAATTCTCTGAATGGACGCTCAGGAATAACAGTCTGATGTCATGCTAGAGTCAGCAACAGCCCTTCGTGGCTCGGTAAAATAAAAGGATCTATGTAAAGATCAGGGAGGTCAGAGTACCGTGGTCTCCTACAATAATAACGTTGACACAGCGGTGCAGGTTCATCTGCTTCAGTCCATTCATCAGTTGGCCAATGACATTATCAAGGTCTGTCAGGGTGTTGTCCAGCTTAGGGCAAGACACAAAATGCAGACATTCAGGCCCATTTATGACATGTCAAAATGTACTTTGTGCAAATGAATGAACACATTTCCGGTCTCATACACGTACCTCACTGCTGAGTGGTCCAAGGCGATGGCCGAAAGTATCCGGCTGCTCTGAATGGACAGCATAAACATACGGCCTGAAAGATGGTTTACAAAGGCAGTCACGTTAGCTGCGTATCATTTCAGCTTCAGAAACCAAAAATAAAACTAAACTTTTTGACACAGCTGCAATTACATCACAAAATAACATTGTGATACGTTACATAACAATAATGAACATTTAAATTTACTTTTTGTTTTATTTTAAAACAAAACCAGTAACTTAAAATTTGAAGAACAGATTAAAACACCTTTCATCATCAGGCAAATGTAGCCAGTGAAGCATGGTCAAAATCCTCCTCTCAAGGGGAATCACCCTGGAAAAAAATATCTTTAAGAGTTGAAAATGTTTTACAGAATCCAAAAGCTGTTCAGCAGATCCTAATTTGTTGCAGTGCTATTTTACAAATGTTTACAGTGTACATCTGTCAGTACATTTGAAGAAATATTAGTCCTACTTTGCGATAACTATGTCATGGGTAAGTCAGTATCTCCTGGTTGTAACTGTTGGTGACTCCTTGGTGAGACAAAACTGTCAGAATTTTTTCAGTTGGAATGTGTCGACATGCGTGTCAAAATAAATACATGATGCAACATTTGTGCAAATGATTAGGGGGTCTTGTGTTTTTCTGGAATCATCCCATTTTTGTTACACTAGGAATAACACCAACCCTTCCCAAAAAATCTCACATTCCTCACATTTTCAAAGCTCATTGAAACCAAACTTAGGCCAGTTCCACACACCTGTGATGGCTTTGAAATCATTTTGAGAGAAAATCTGTTTTTGTAAAATGCAAACATGTTCAAAATTCCAACAACACCAGAGCAGGACATGCGACTTACACAATGAAACTGGGAACTCTCGAATGCTTTGAGACATTTTGAAAGGTCTTCTAAAATATATCAAGTTGTCCTCGACAGACAGCTCAGTGAGCTTTACACAAAAAAATAAATTAATAAATAAACTGTGTGGATCATTGGATAGCTAGGTTTGTTACATGTGTCCTACTATGTAATTTTTTGGGTCTGAGGGCATTTATTTTTCTGAAAGTACTGAAGAATATTTCACTACTAACTTAAGTACCAAGGCCAGAAGAAAGTGCCTGCCTTCACTCCTTGTTTCTCTGCAGTGATCCAGATCTGCAAAACAGAAGGAAGAGATGAAATCAGATACTTGATCTCACTTATTTTTAAATGTGTAAATTATTATTTGAGGCGACTTTCTTATCTGTGAAATTTATGAATGACGTGGGGTCAGAACAGAATAATCTGATCAAATATGTTTCAGGGTTTACTTTCCCTCCGGTTCTATACCCTGATTTAGAAATCAGTGTACATGTTTCAGCTCTTTAAAGGCAAATATATATATATATATATATATATATATATATATATATATATATATATATATATATATATATATATATATATATATATATATGAATAAGGATATGGATAAGCTAAATTTTCAATGCAGGAAAAAAGAAATGTCTAATTGGGTTTTATTCAGCAAGTTAAAGCCACTATCACACTAGGCAGCAACTGTTTTTCACTAATTTAAAATTGTATTCCCCACAGTTTTCAAAAAGTCTCAAAACATTTGTGGGGCCTTGTGACGGAGTGGTATGAATTATTTCCCATTCATCCCTTTGATATACTTTCTATAGTCTGAAGGTACTTTGCTATGTGATATTTTAACCAGATAAAATGTGGATATTGCACTGGTTTTGATGTAATGGGTTTTCATTGCATGCTGATGTAATTACCCTTTTGAATCTAATGTTTGTCTTTGTATCCAGAGTAGGTTGTGAGGGGAGGGGAGGGCCCGGCCCACCCAGTACTGCCTCCCTGGATCATCTTCTGATTGGTTACTTCATTTGGACAAACCAAATGAAGTGGGATTTGTTTCTTTTGTTTTTTTAGTATTAGTTTAAAACTGTTTCTTGTACTTTATAAATAGTTTTGTCTTTTGTTTATGTTAAAACGTACGTACATTTAGTTGGATGTTTATTTCCTTTTGGGTTTGATTGTTGGAGCATGGTTGACTGGTGCTGATTGTTCCCAGGTGTGATATTTTTTTCTATTCTATTTAAAAGAAGCCATGTGGAGGCTTGGGAGATCCTTTTTCTGACTTGTAAAGAGCAATGGAATAACAGCCTGGGTAGCGTATTGGCTCCCAAGGAAAAAACCTCACCGTTCTGCAGTTTACCTTCTGGCTACACTACCTTCTCACAAGCCCCTTAAGCTGGGCAGACACTGTGTGACTTTTTCACTCGCAGCGTTCAGCTTCAGCTCAAACTGTACGACTTCCTCGCAGGGCAGATCTCACGAGTCATGCGCTCACACTGCACGACCCAGTTCTCGGATGCGACCTGACTGCTCACACTGTACGTCTGGTAGCAACACGTCGGCCCTAAAAACATGCTAAAAATAGCAGTTTTTACTCAACACGTCAGACTTTTTGGTCTTGTTTTGCCTGTTGTCCTTCGGGAGTGCTGCAGGAGGACACACAGGGATTTATGGGGGTTGGACGAGGAAAACGAAATAAAGAAAGTAAATCTGTGTTTTGTGATCAGTTTAATTTGACATGAACACGACAAACACGCTTTCTTGACAATCTTTGTGAGTACAAAAAACGTGTAGAAACAAAAACGAACAGCGTGTGTTATTAGGGAAATAGCGGGCGAGCGGTGCTGATGCAGGATTGCGCATGCGCCGTGAGCGGTTCTGATACTTTTTGGGTCGCAGCTGCTCGCAGCGCCGCTTCAACAGTGCGATACCCTCACGAGGGACGAGCAAAATATTAAACACGCCAGAAGTTTGTGCGAGCTCACGATTGCTGATCGGTAGCTGGTCACGTGGTGTTAATCGCCTCTCGCAACCCCCTGTACACTACACGACGCTCGGCGCAAAACTCGCCCCGATCTTGTGGATTCTCGCACGAGTGGAAAATCGGCTCAAAAAAGTGAAAAAGTCGCATAGTGTACGCTCGGCTCTAAGTACCCTCATGATGCAGTGACAAGGCCTACTTTTGTTTCCTCACTGGGTGCCCATCTGAAACCACTCTTGAATGCTTCTCAATGTAAAAGAATTCAGAAAGTTCTAGAAATGTAAAACGACTTTTGTAGGGGTCTGTACTTGAGTCAAAGTTTGAATCACCTATTCAGCAGCTCATCAAGCCCTGCAAAAATCAGGTGTGTTTGAGCAAAGAGTCAACTAAAACATGCAGGATGGTGGCCCTCCAGGACCAGGACTGGGCACCCCTGATTTAACAGAATCTGATGTAATTCGAGTTCAATAAAAAGCCAATACTGACCGGCTGTCCGCCCCACCAGCGGTGGTTTAATTTCTCTCGTGTTCGAAGGCTGAAAGTGGCATTGAACTCTGGGTCATGCATGGTGTTTCCCACAATCCCATGAGACTCTGGGTACAGACCCTGAAGAGAGATCCCATAGTGCAACATCGAAGCAATAAATTAAACAATTCTTTCTTGCAACAGCATCACGACATGAACAGAGCAAAAGGGCCAACTAGACAAGTTTATTGGCAAGCATCGGTGTGCACTTAGTGTTCAAACATGCAGGTATTCATTAACAGCCTGGCTTTTACTATACGCTCTATAGAAGTCCTGCAAAACAGATAAATCTAAGTAATCAGTCAACACTGTCCAAAGTCACTTACTGTGGCTAGGGTGTATAAATTTGGGAATGTCTTTGATGGGTAAACTGGCCGCATGTATGGTACTGATGTACCACAGCTTTCTGCCAAAAAGAATGTTTGACTTTTGAGTAAAAATAAAACAACGGTTTAATTTTAATACAAGACAAGTAGATGAACATTAATGTCTCGCAAATAATAAAAGTGTACTGAGTTTGTGCAGGTTAGGGATGACAGATTTGCTCTTCTTCAGGTAGGAGGCTCTGAACCCATCCACAGACACCATAATGAGAGGAGGACGGACGAAACTGGAAAACAAGGGCGACACAAGTCCAACTTTAACTTTAAAGAGTTTCTCTATATCCTTATTGTTCAAGTGATGAAATCTCATTAAATAAACATAGTCATATAAATGTATGGACCAGTCTCAACCTTTGATGAATCCTATTGAGTTAAGAGCTCCCGCTCTGTAACAGAAGCTCAAATAAGAGGACAAAAATAGCTTTAGAGACTGGAACATCAATGGAAAAAGACAGTGTGATAGCAGCAACAACATCAAAAACATCAAATGACCTTAATGTCCATGTGAATTAGTTCCCTGTGGTGTACAAGTAACCATTAACATTTCGAAAGACGTTATAGTTCTTAAATGCCTAAAGATGCTCTTTATATGAGCATAATAAACCAGTGATGAATGTTTAAGTCTAGCCAATAACTAAGATCTAATAAATTATTTTGATGTGGAATTATTGGAGGAGAGTGTGCAACACTTTTTCCAATGCTTTATGGAACAGGTGTCAAACTCCAGTCCTCGAGGGCTGCTGTCCCACATGTTTTAGTGTTTTCCCTGTTTCAACACACCTGATTTCAATCAGCAGGTGATTAACAGGTGTCTGGAGAACTTGATGAGCTGCTGCACATGTGAGTCAACTGTTTTGGAACAGGGAAACAACAAAAACGATGCAGGATACCAGACCTTAAGGGCTAGAGGTTGACACCTCTACCTTATGGAAAACACAAACTGCAGTGCCTTGCAAATAGGGCCTTATGGGTCTATAACCCCTCAAGGCGATTCACAACACCATCAGTCATCCACCCATTCACACGCTGGTGATAATGAGCAAAACTGCCAAACAATGGCGCCACCAGTCCCGCCAACCACCACCAGCAGGCTAGGCAGGGTGTCTTGCCCAAGGACACAACAGCAGCATTCTTTGGTGGGATCTGGGATTGAACCTGCAACCTTCCAATAATCCCCTACCTCCTGAGCTACTCCTGCCCCAAATCACAAATGCAATTGAACCTGTACTACGCAATTCTCTGCTGTTTTATATCATTATCATTTCAAAATGAAACACAAATAAGAATGATGAAAAGCCTATCAATAAAATGAAAGGTCATTACTTACAAACAAGCTGAACTAGTTTTCCAATGTCGTCAAATGAAAAATGCAAGCTGTTGTGCTAACGTTATTTGTAATGTGAGAAGAGCACAAAAGCATCTAAGAAAAGCTACAATGTCTTTGTGTTTACACACAAATATACTTGTCTGAAGAAACTGTCATCTTTTACCCAGCCAAGAATAATAATTGCACAACCCAGTCTCACCCTGCAGGACATTCAGCTCTCTTGATCTCCTCACATTCTTCGTCCAACCAGGAAGTTTCACCTGATAACAAAGAGACAAGCACTCTTTACTGATGCTGGACCACATTGAAACTCCATTTCTAGATTTTGTTACCAGCTAAGAAAAACGTTTCATGAAACGAGCCTTTGCAGAGGGATTTGTAGTTGGAGCAGCAGTCTCCGTGTTCCAGGCAGTCCTCTGTGCAGTGGCAGGCATGGTTTTCATTCCTCTCCTCCCCGCAGCGATCCTCCGTACACTCAAACCCTCCCTCTTGGATGAAATAAAGGCCATTTTTTTACTTTGACTTTGTTACAGAACCCCTAGATGTTTCAGTTGTGGTCAATCCAAAACATCGTGAACACATGAGAGATAAGCCAATGTGTCTAAAATATATCACAAAATGTTGTGTGTATTAAGCTACTTTTTGCTTAAAGACCAAGTTTGCTCATTATTTCAACACATCTGCAGTGGTCTCAAGTACAATGTCCTGTGAGTCGATCGCTGTGGAAAGTAAGCCAGAGCAGAGGTGAGCAGAACACGCTAGGCTTGGATTTCTTATTTCCTGATATTTAGAGATTTTGCCTCTGATTGACTAGTAGCAATGCGACTCTACAACTGACTCCCTTTGTTCTGCAGTGTTGATGATTAATAACAAGTAGCACAGCTTGAAAGAGTTCTGCCATGTTGTGGAGTTGCTAATGCTAACGGTTAGTTTCTACTAGCTGAATGTGCTCTGCTCTCTCCTGGACACTAATCCAACAACAGCCTTCCCTGTCGCGAACTGAGATGGTTGAGTCCATGAATGATAATTTGACATTATGACATGAATTATCAGACTTTTCTAATCAGAGTTTCCTAGTCGTCGTCGTCGTCGTCGTCGTCGTCTTCCTTCGCTTATCCGGGTCCGGGTCGCGGGGGCAGCAACCCAACTAGGGAGCTCCAGGCCGTCCTCTCCCCGGCCTTGTCCACCAGCTCCTCCGGCAGGACCCCAAGGCGTTCCCGGACCAGATTGGAGATGTAACCTCTCCAACGTGTCCTGGGTCGACCCGGGGGCCTTCTGCCGGCAGGACATGCCCGAAACACCTCCCCGGGGAGGCGTCCAGGAGGCATCCTGACCAGATGCCCAAACCACCTCAACTGGCTCCTTTCGATCCGGAGGAGCAGCGGTTCTACTCCGAGTCCCTCCCGAATGTCCGAGCTCCTCACCCTATCTCTAAGGCTGAGCCCGGCCACCCTACGGAGGAAACTCATTTCGGCCGCTTGTATCCGCGATCTCGTTCTTTCTGTCATTACCCAAAGCTCATGACCATAGGTGAGGATTGGGATGTAGATCGACCGGTAAATCGAGAGCCTGGCTTTCTGGCTCAGCTCCCTCTTCACCACGACAGATCGGCTCAGCGTCCGCATCACTGCAGACGCCGAACCAATCCGCCTGTCGATCTCCCGATCCCTCCTACCCTCACTCGTGAACAAGACCCCGAGATACTTAAACTCCTCCACTTGAGGTAGGACCTCTCCCCCGACCCGGAGGTGGCAAGCCACCCTTTTCCGGTCGAGAACCATGGTCTCAGATTTGGAGGTGCTGATCCTCATCCCAGCCGCTTCACATTCGGCCGCGAACCTACCCAGCAAGAGCTGAAGGTCAGAGCTGGATGAAGCTAGGAGGACCACATCATCCGCAAAAAGCAGAGACGAGATTCTCCTGCCACCAAACTCGACACACTCCACACCACGGCTGCGTCTAGAAATTCTGTCCATAAAAGTGATGAACAGAACCGGTGACAAAGGGCAGCCCTGGCGGAGTCCAACCCTCACTGGGAACAGGTCCGACTTACTACCGGCTATGCGGACCAAACTCACGCTCCTCTGGTAAAGGGACTGAATGGCCCTTAACAGAAAGCCACCCACCCCATACTCCTGGAGCGTCCCCCACAGGGTGCCCCTGGGGACACGGTCATAAGCCTTCTCCAAATCCACAAAGCACATGTGGATTGGTTGGGCAAACTCCCATGCCCCCTCCATCACCCTTGCAAGGGTATAGAGCTGGTCCACAGTTCCACGGCCAGGACGAAAACCACATTGTTCCTCCTCTATCTGAGATTCAACTATCGATCGGACCCTCCTCTCCAGTACCTTGGAGTAGACCTTTCCAGGGAGGCTGAGGAGTGTGATCCCCCTATAGTTGGAACACACCCTCAGGTCACCCTTCTTAAAGATGGGGACCACCACCCCAGTCTGCCACTCCCTAGGAACTGCCCCCGATGACCACTCAATGTTGTAGAGACGTGTCAACCATGACAGCCCTACAACATCCATAGCCTTGAGATACCCAGGACGAACCTCATCCGCCCCCGGGGCTCCGCCGCTGTGTAGTTGTTTGACTACCTCAGCAACTTCTGCCCCCGAGATCGGACAGTCCATCCCCAGGCCTCCCAGCTCTGGTTCCTCCTCGGAATGCGCATTGGTGGGATTGAGGAGCTCCTCAAAGTATTCCTTCCACCGTCCGACTATAGCCTCAGTTGACGTCAGCAGCTCCCCATCCCCACTGTAAACAGTGTGAGCGAGTTGCTTCCTTCCTCTCCTGAGGCGCCGGACAGTTTGCCAGAACCTCTTTGGAGCCGATCGATAGTCTTTCTCCATGGCCTCACCAAACTCCTCCCACGCCCGAAATTTTGCCTCTGCAACTGCCACTGCTGCACCCCGCTTGGCTATCCGGTACCTGTCTGCTGCCTCCGGAGACCCACTGACCAGCCACGCCCTGTAGGCCTCCTTCTTCAGCTTGACGGCTCCCCGAACCTCTGGTGTCCACCAGCGGGTACGGGGGTTGCCACCACGACTGGCACCGGCCACCTTACGACCACAGCTAGCAACAGCCGCCTCGACAATCGCAGAGTGGAACAAGGCCCACTCGGACTCAATGTCCCCCACTGCTCTCAGGGCGTGGTCAGAGCTCTGCCGGACGTGGGAGTTGAAGACCGTCTTGACAGGTTCTTCTGCCAGGCGTTCCCAGCAGACCCTCACTATGCGTTTGGGTCTGCCAGGTCTAAGCGGCATGTTCCCTTGCCATCTGATCCAACTCACCACCAGGTGGTGATCAGTTGACAGCTCCGCCCCTCTCTTCACTCGGGTGTCCAAAGCATACGGCCGCAGGTCAGATGATATGACTACAAAATCTATCATCGACCTGTGACCTAGGCTGCCCTGGTACCAAGTGTACCGGTGGGCATCCTTATGTTCGAACATGGTGTTCGTTATGGCCAAACTGCGGCTTGCACAGAAGTCCAATAACAAAACACCGCTCGAGTTCAGATTAGGTGGGCCGTTCCTCCCAATCACACCCCTCCAGGTCAAGCTGTCATTGCCCACGTGAGCATTGAAGTCCCCCAGCAGGACAATGGAGTCCCCTGATGGAGCACTATCTAGCACTCGTCCCAGGGACTCCAAAAAGGGTGGGTACTCTGAACTGATATTTGGCCCATAAGCACAAACAACAGTCAGGACCCGTTCCCCGACCCGAAGGCGCAAGGAAGCTACCCTCTTGTCCCCCGGGGTAAACCCCAACACACAGGCAGAGAGTCTCGGGGCTAACAAAAAGCCTACCCCAGCCCTCCGCCTCTCACCCGGGGCAACTCCAGCAAAGTAGAGTGTCCAACCCCTCTCCAGGTCTCGGGTTCCAGAGCCAATGCAATGTGTCGAGGTGAGTCCGACTATATCTAGCCGGTACCGCTCAACCTCTGCCACAAGCTCCGGCTCCATCCCCGCCAGCGAGGTGACGTTCCATGTCCCAAAAACTAGTTTTCTTGTCCGGGGATTGGACCGCCAAGGCTCCCGCCTTGGTCTGCCACTCGAGTTTCCTAGTCCATTTTTTTATCTGCAGCTAAAGCACATTCTTTCACATTTAGCCTGCATATTGAACTCAGAGTGGCTCATATTTTTAAAATAACAAGTAAAACGTGGTTTCTCAGTGAACTTGGCCTTTAATTGTTTCAGGATGAAACTCTGGTTGTGTTTTCTTGATTAAGCCAAGATATAGATTAAGATCAAATTGATGTTTTAGAGAATTTCTGCTGGGGAAGATTCTCAGTCATCCATGTCATGGTAATCCAAAGGGATTTGAATGAAGGTAACTAGACGTTTTACATGTTGCTTCTCATCCAAGGAGCTTTTTCAATTCTGACAAATGAAATATGGGAGTGTCAAGTTTATTATCAGCTACAGTTTATAGGCTTGACTTTCTGACATTCAAACCCCATATTGTGCCTTTCTGAAACATGTCTTTTACGTAGCAGTGTTTTCTACTCGACAACTGCTTTTTCTTTATTTGTCTAAACCGTTGCAGTTCCAACGATGTGAGATTCTCAGATGAAGGAAAAACATCTATTTTTTTCATCCCTTTATTTAACCTTCCCACTGTCTTTTGGGTGACCCCACGAGGATAGCTGTGTCATCGTTCTCGGGTCTAGGTGAGTCCTCCTGCTTAATTAACAATCTTTGGGGTTCTGTGTTCCACAGGTGAGGAGCAGAGAGGCACCAGCTGTGCCGCGTTAAATCATTTAGAGCTCGGGTTTAAGAGGAGGATGGGGACACTACTCGAAGCCGGATGATTGCTCCAGTATTGGTAACGCCTGCCACTCGTACTTGTTTGACCCTCGCATGTTTGGATTACTTGGATTTTTGACCTTGGACTGTTTATTTGATTACGGCTTTGAAATTGCTCCTGAAGCTTCGTTGGTTTGCCCTCCTCCTAGGATTATCACCCCAACCTTCACCAGATTCAGCTAAGAACCACGGATTCTCATTCACGTCTCATCCTCCTCCACCGCTCCTGCAGTTTTCCTCTCTGCTTCCTCACCTCCCACCCTGCTGGATTACTACACTCGTCTCCTTGGCCCGCTTGCCCCGCAGCTCGCTGAGCTAAGAACTCTGAACAATCGCCCTTGGCATCATTCACTGGATTTCAGTGCTACCTAAGTTCCCGTTTGTAAAAATAAAGACTTTAATTTCTTACCTCCTGACTCCTGTGCTGATTCTGCATGTCTTGGGTTAAACGCCTTCCACAAGCCATGACAGAATCATCCGGCCAGCAAGATAACCCAGCGGAATCAGCCCTAGCAGACCTGGCAAACCGGATGGCACAGCAGGAACAAACACTTCCTGTCCTGCTCGATCAGCTGGCAGTCGCTAATCAACGGTACCAGCAGTTGGAGGCTCTGGTTCAACAACTCCACGATCGCTTACCGGCTCCAGCAGCCCCTCCAGCTCCTGCCCAG